AAATCTAAACGCCTCTTTTCGACTAAGCCAACCGTAGGTAACACGAAGTTTTGGATTGTGGAGCGACTGACTCGCCGAACCGACCGATTTCACTATGTTTTATTAAAAATCCATGACCAAACTATTATGAAATTTCAAGTTTTGAGTTCGTTGTGTTCAGAGTCGACAATATATATAATATGCATAATATATATATATATTTTTTTTAATCGACTAAAACTTTGTGTTAATCGAAGTTGCTTAATTTTTTAAGTGATCATCCAGACTTATAGGCAGAAGTTTGTCTGATTGCTAATAAACTCAAATTGATTTCACATTATTTATACATTTAGAGTACTTTTTCAAAAAACGAAAACTTATCATAATGAAATAAAAAAAAAATCTGTATAGAAGGTTTCATTAGATCTGTAAGACTCCATAGCCAAAAATAAGATCTAATTCTCGTTTGCATAAGAAAGGTAGTATTGTAATAACTTCTTAAAACTCAATAAAAAAATCAACTTATAATTAAGCCAATTTTTTTAAACAGACGAGAATCAGATCATATTTTTAACTACGGAGTACTACAGCTCTAATGAAACCTTCTATACAGCTTTTTTTATTTAATTAGTTTTCGTTTTTAAAAAAGTACTCTAAACTGTACGCGCACTAAAAATTCCTTGCAAAATTTTGATATAGGACGTATCCTCCTTCGATCATTATCCTAACCCTAACATAAAGTTTTATGACTTTAAAAATATCACGCTGTGGGACCCGGATGGACTCTGACCGCTTGTGGGTTCATATCCCAATTAGGAAAAAGATCGGTCGCATCTATCGCATCCGTCGCATGCGACCGATGGGTCGCATCAGTCACATCGGTCACATATGACGGATATGACGGATAGCAGTGATCGGTCAGAAGGGTCTTTTAAATAGAAGTAGACAATTATAAATAAAGGCCGAAAGGCCTTTGGGAATAATAACTTCCCCTTAGCAAACAATACATAATGCATAGTACATATTACATTGCCTAAACACTCACAGCAAATTGCTTGTAACATAAGAAACCAAGTAGCTTTATTAAACTGTAATCATCATCGCTACCACGAAGTCTGTCCCTAACCCGTAAAAATACATAAAGTGTGTTCGTACATTTAATCAATAACCAACCTTAAACCTCCTTAAAGACAGTAGAACCCGACTAGTACCCAATAAACCACTCTTTCGACCGTAATTAACACTACCCCAAGTGGTTACACGAGGAATCCGACCGATTAGCGACTGACTCGCCGTTTTACGTTTACAACGCATATTGATTTGTTTTGATTAGTGTAGATCATCTGATTGATGTGTTTATCACGGGTAGCCATCATCCGAACGATTTTCTGAACCAAACCTGGTACACATTTTCTGGGTGTTTAGATGTAGTAATTCTTCAATGTGTGCCAGGTTTGTAGCGCAGCAAAAATTCGTTTATGTTAGGGTTAAAGTCAGGGTTGAGAATCAGAGGGGAGTAGTTTATATAGCAAAATTGTTTGACGAAAACTTTTTATTAGAACAGTAAAGGTGAATTTTTATGCTGAGTTTTGCGAAGTAGGTGAATTCTGACAAAATGGGCATTTGTTTTGATCATACTACGTTACACCAGATCTTGAAATTTGATTCGTAGTTCAGTAAAACTGCATCACAACCCTGGTACTCATTGAAGAATTGCTTGGATGTAAATCAATGATGTCATAAGCATGCAAGTTATGAAATATAGCATGCTAATCTCTATTGATTGGGATTTTAAAATATAATCTCATAAAAATTTGCCCTTGGGTATAGTTGGCGGTAGAATTATTAAATTACGGCATTTTACCATGTGGTATCTAATTGCCGTATATATTATATGCCGTAACGTATTACGGCATTACGGCTCAAAAAAATTACGCCAAATTGCCAAATTAATTCTACCACCAACTATCTCCTTGGGAAGAATTAGCAAATGCATATATAAATAGGATATACAGTAACATAGCTTTACTATATGCTTCGACCTAACCATAATTTGTTTTATTTTCCTCAATTCCATGGCTCATGCAACAGACGGCATGAATCTCAAATAAAACGTGATATTTTGACCTAATACTCGTAAAAACCGTGTACCCTCTGAATATTATTAAGTTTGTACTTTCGTACCATTTGGCGCATCTAACAGAAGGTACTACTATAATTGGGGTGCAGGTCAAAATCTGACTGACGGAATCCTGACAGGTCATAATCCCAACAAAAAAATCTCGACATTTAAAAATTCCGAGGGCCAGAATTTTTAGTAGAAAATTCAAAGTATTTGATATGTTTAAAGCATAATAGACTATTGTAATTTAATTAAGATAAGGTTTGCTATGGCTTATGGTATTTATTATCAGAGTTTTTAATTACTGGAATTTTGTCTGTCGGGATTTTGATCCAAACCCTTATAGTTAGATGTTGATAAAACTTTCGATAATCTTCAAGACAAAGTAACCTACCTTATTTGATCATATTGAATGAAATGATGTTTCAGTGTTTCGTCATTTATTAAGCAAACCCTTAAAAATAGTCTGGTTATGGTACATATAGAGACGGCATCATGTGCATTTGAGTCAGATTTTTCAAATTCATGTAACGCAGATTATTCTCTTTTTGATAAAAGATCTTCAATTGGAAAATTCTTTTGATTCTATAGTACCAATCATTGACTGTGTTGTTATTTGGCACACAACCGCCTTTTTAAAGCCTCAGGAAAGGAATATTTTAAAGGTTTTTTTTAAAACTGATTGTTATTTTTAGATTATAAACAATGCCTTTTTTTAAATTGAAATCGGTTTTAGAATAGCCTCTTAGTATATTGCAGATCATTTCTAAATCAAAATACTTGAATTAAATAACTTACCCAAAAAATGATTAAAATCCAATCACAAGATCTCGAGATCATTAAGGTTTCGTGTTACTTTTGAATGATTAATTTTAATGATTTTGGACTCGGTCATTATGGTGGTTAAATCATCAAAAACAGAAAAAGTTATTTACTATTAAAGATTATATATATTTTTAAACCATATTGCATATAACATGCATGCATGCATTGTACAGAAAATGCCATTTTCCCCATCTCTAAGCACGTGCGTACATACTTCGTTGATTGATAGCTAATTATGGCCAAATAATACAATTCAATAACATATACATTATAAAAATTAAAGCACTAAAAAAAATCTTAGTAATGTAATACAATTTCGATATATATATATGACTATGTTAAAACTTGTAACATTTTAATTTTTTTCGACTAAACTAATGTCGTCTACAACAAATAACAACACTCGTTATCGTTATGGATGTACGGGTCCAGGATGTAACATATTGAATAGCTTTATAGAAAACTTATTTCGTAAAATAGGTTCTAGACTATACCAATCTGATGAATCTCAAGAAATAACTAACAATTCTTTCTTAACAAATTCAAATTCACATTCATCAAATTCTATTACAAACCACAAAACATATAATGTGAGAATACGAGCACCGAACAAAGCCAAAGTAAAACCAGTTCGTAATGAGCCACTGGAAAATGGTTCATTACCATCCCAATGGAATTGTTCCGTAGATATTTATAACTTGGAACGGAAAGTTGATGTAATTTGTACCAAATTAACCCAGATTGAACAAACATTAAATACTTTGGTTCAATTACGTATTAAACAAAATAATAATAGTAATAATAGTGATAATAGTGATAATAATGATAATAGTGATAATAATGATAATAGTGATAATAATGATAATAGTGATAATAATAATAATAGTAATAATAATAATAATAGTGATAATAGTGATAATAATGATAATAGTAATAATAATGATAATAGTGATAATAATAATAATAGTAATAATGTTATTATTGATGCTCCCTTTCAACCTTCTAAAATTAATAATAGTCATATTCATTACTGCACTAAATGTGGTCTTAAGAAACTTCTTGACGAATGGTGTGAACCATGTGAACACGAAAATTTTAAATCTAATTTGAATAAGTGGACTAGCGAAAATGATATTATTGATGCCATTATACGAGACACTCAACTTTCAGCTACCACCAAATTTAATTTCTTAGAATGGATTCCTTACACTGCATTAACCAATATTAAATATATTGCTAAAGGTGGGTTTGGTGAAGTATTCTCTGCCAATTGGGTTGACGGACCTAGGACTAAATGGAATACTGAAAAAAATGATTGGGAAAGATACTCAAACGTTGACGTCGCTTTGAAGAGTTTATCAGAATTTAAAGATGAAGATTTTACTAGTGAACTTTTTAACGAAGTAATTATTTTTACTCCCGCTCAAAAAGTATGGTATACAGATGTGACATTAAATTTAAACATCATCCACAGTCTTATCCAACATCATGTCACATGTATATTCAATATTTTTTTTGACCTGGTTTATTAAAGCTGTATTAAATTCAAATAATACTTTTAATAATATTTTATCAAAACTTTTTTTAATTTCTTTGATAGCTCAAATCTTACTTAACGTCTAACAACCAGGTGTCAGGTCGCTCTACCACTTTACGCACCCATGGCATGACCCGTGATCCTAAATCAAAGGCCTATATGATGGTGATGACATTAGCTGATTATGGAGACTTATCCACATACTTAAAAAAAGAATTTTCAAAAGTTACTTATATTCATAAACTCGAGATTCTTTATGACATAGCAACTGGTATTTGTCAGATTCACGAGTCTGGACTTGTGCATCGTGATTTACATAGTCGTAATGTGTTGTTTCAAGGAATAAAAAATAGGAGTATGGGCCGTGGCGAAAACCATCGATTTGTAATTGGTGATTTTGGCCGGGCAATTCCACCAAGGAAAGATGACAATAATGATGTGTGCGGTGTATTACCTTATATTGCACCAGAAGTCTTGCGAAATGAACCATATACCAAAGCGGCTGATATATATAGCTTTGGAATTCTTATGTGGGAAGTCTCATCTGGTTTAACACCCTTTGGTGACATTAAACATGATTTCTTTTTAACGGATAAGATTTGCTCAGGAAAAAGACCTGAAATCGTACCTAATACTCCAAAATTGTATGCTGATTTAATGCAAAGATGCTGGTGTGATAATAAGGAGAAAAGACCAAGCGCATTCGAGTTATATATGACGATTGGAACTTGGTTAAATCAATGTTTGTTTGTTCCCGACTCTGAGATTACTAAAAGATTTAAAAAAGGAGATGAACACAGTTTAAAGATACCACAATCTCAAAGTTTGCATCCAGAAAATGTTTTATATAGTACTTATCATAAAAGTATGTACACTTACGAAATTTAGTAAATTAAAGAAAATTACGTAGTATTCTATTAACATTTACTAATTTATGCTTTAAATTTCAAACCTAGCATTACCATTAAATCCCGTCAATCCAACTGTGGACCCATACAATTCCATTTCAGATTATGATGATGACTATTTATTCATGACTATTACTGATGCGATATAACATCCAACTATATCTAATATTAACAAAAAGAGACTTTAACATATCGAAGATTGAAGAAATAGAATGTTTGAATAAAGTACAATCATTTTATACGGCAAAGAATTCATATAAGTTGCCATCCTGGACAAAGACAGCACGTGGGTTGTGTCAAACAAAGTAATGAAAATCAAGGGATTTAGCATGTCTCAGAGAAGCTTTATTTTTTCATTTACAATATATTGTAAATAGAATTTTATTTTATTTTTCGGTACTATCTTTATGTATTGCTACTTTTGATTTATTTTCATTCATATTTATCTCTGCTATTTATTCTAAACCAAATTTATATCTACTCACCCGACAGTTAACCTATTAAACAAAGAAGTTTCATTCAAGTGTATTTTATTTATAAATTATTTCTGGAGTAGTGCAAGGAACGTAGGTCCAAGTAATGGGCAAGAAAATTCAGAGTGAGTTATATGGATGGGGGTATACTTAATTAGGATTAAATCAGTATTGTAGTTATTAAAATTTAGCGTTATATAACATATTATTCTCAGATTTTATATATAATATATGGTTATTTGTTATAGTTGTATATAATACTTGATATTGTTAGACCCGGAACACGTGATCCACGGATGGCCGATTTCGTCATGGGATCTTCGTCGTACGACCTCAAATCGACTATGAAGATCTCTTACTATAGTGGGACTAGTGTTGTTAGGCGAAACCATTTTGGGCAAATGGCGAAAGACGAAACCTAAACCTGGCGAAAGACGAAAGACGAAACTCCCTGGCGAAACTGGCAAAACCTGGTGAAATTGGCGAAACCTGGCGAAACTGACGAAACCTGGCGAAACTGGCGAAACCTGGCGAAACTGACGAAACCTGGCGAAATTGGAGAAACCCTTCTCGAAGGCAAAACCTCAAAATTAAGCGAAGATCAAAACTTCTAATGCTTTGAAAAGACTAAGCCATGTTGGTGAATGAAAATATATTGCGTAGCTATTAAGTACATCATGTGGCTTAGGGACCTGCACGGGCCTAAAAATTTAGACTTTTGCCAGCCCGCTCGGCCCACAATTTTGAGAGGTTTATACATCATAGACAGAAGTTTGTCTGATTGGCTAATAAATTCAATTTAATTTTACATTATCTATATAGTTTAGAGTACTTTTTAAAAAAACGAAACCCAACTATAATAAAGTAAAAAAAAACATATAGAAGGGTTCATTAGAGTTGTAGGACTCCATAGCCAAAAATAAGATCTAATTCTCGTCCGTTTAAAAAAATTAGCTTAGTAAAAAGTTGATTTTATCGGTTTTTGTGAAGGTATTACTATACTAACTTTTTTAAACGGATGAGAATTAGATCTTATTTTTGGCTATGGAGTCTATGGTTGGTTTTCTTTTTTTAAAAAAGTACTCTAAACTGTATAAATAATGTAAAATTAAATTGAATTTATTAGCCAATCCAACAAACTTCTGCCTATGAGTTTTTACAGCTATTTTCATAATTCCCAGAACATCTAATAAAATTGACCGAATGATTTTTCGGTCAATCCAGTAAAGTTATTGATTTCGGCATGATCGGGTGCGTATAAAGATTACTTTATATACATATTAATTACATTGTAATTTGATATATATATGTTTTCGCATAAACTAAATGCACTAAGCATGTTGGGCAAGTATTCAAATGAAGATTGATTAATATTGTCATCTCGGATTTCGGCGAGTCTGTCGCTAAACTAGTCCAACTCTCGTGTAACCTACAGCGGCTAAGTCGAAACAGGCGTGTTAGATTTGGCGAGTAGATTATCGTCCGTAGGTAAGTACTGGTCTCTTCTCTGTTGAGTCTTTCCTTCAACCTACTCTTCTTCTAATTTCTTTATCTTTTTCTATTGTCTCAACCAGGATTTCACTACATCGAATCAGGGTTGGAACTCTTCTTCTCTTGTTACGGTTTACCGGGTACATGACTGGTTGTTCTTGGGGGGGTAGTGTTTGTACTGGGATTTAACGATAGTACTGGTGTTTACAGGATAAAACATTCACTTGTACTATGGGGTTGGGTAGTTAGTTTTTATTTCACAATTGTCCTCCTCCCTTCTCCTGGGCAAATTGCCCTTTATTTATAATAAACTGTCTTGTCTATTTACATTATAAAATTGTCTAGGATATCGAACATATCTAATTTATCATATATATCGCATATATCTAATATATCACACTTATGCGATATAGGTGATATATCAGATATATCAGATATATCAAATATATCTGATATATCTGACATTTCTGACATTCAGGATTTACAACACGTGATATCGATCACATTTTCGGATCTCACAATATTGAATGTGTCAACATTTATAATGTAGAATTATCTGTAGAAAGTAAGTCTTTTAATGTTGGTCAAAACCTTCATAGTGCTGGCAAAACTTTTGTAATGCAGGTGCAATAATCATATGCCATTGTACTAGTTAACAGTTAATGTAAAAGTTACATACTGTACATAGACACAAGTGCATGAAGATTATCATGATGACCCCTTGCAGCAAGTTCGAGAAAACTTATAAGATCCAAGCCCCTATTGAATTAATGACACTGATCCTGTAAAGAGAAAAGTCACCTGTCCAATTTGGTTTGATAGATGACAAGGTAATATTTTCTTGTCAAGATAGTACAATTTAGTCAATGGTTGGAAAGTGTTAAAGTAAAGAGAATAGTATGAACAATTCTTCTAGTCTTCTTATTTTCCTTGTTAAACATGTATAAAAAACCTTGTTATTGTAGGAAAAAAGGAATAAAGAATCAAGATCTTTTAAAAAAGTAATAAGAAATAAGAAACCTAATTCACTTCTATAAAGTTCTCTGAGATTTTAATATATAGTTGTACCCATTTAATCCAAGCCTTAAACCCTGTCTCTGAATCATTAAGTAACATTACATGATATCTTTCTTTTGTTGTGTGTATGTTGTCTATTTTATATCTGACAATATATACAATATTGGAATTTTTATGCTGATATTAATATTATTTATGTAAATATTTATATATATAAAAAACTTTTAATTTTAAAAATTAAAATAACGAATAGCATAAATATTTCTCTAGTATATTATAATAACTTTAAGCAATCAATGTCATTTTTTTAATCACATTAATTCAACATATTCTTATTCAAATAATACTTTTTTTGAATAAAAATACCTCAAAAAGCTGAATTTTTCTTTATATCATTTATTTGTAAACACATATTTCACAGTATTTTTGATTTAATAGTTGTGACTAATATTACAAAGAAAAATATTCAAGAGATATTATTTTTATTACCTTATACTGATTTTTGAATTTCTAATATGGTTTATAATATTGTTTAATATTTTGGTAATTTGAATTAATAATTAAAAATAATATAATACCAGAAATATTGTTCTTTTAAAAATTATAACTTGAAATTTAAAGGAACTTTTTTTAAACTTTTTTTTTATAAGTTTTATTAAAAAATTTGTTTTTTTAAGTATTATTAAAAATTAATAGAGTTATTTAAACTTTAATTTGCTCATTTTTATGTTAGATAAAAAAATTAATTTATGAAATTGCAAAAAACAAAGAGCAACCAAATACAATTAAATTTTTTTTTATTTATTTAACTTTAACTTCATAATGATAAGTCTTTTCAAATTACTAAATATAATATCTTTTTCATTATAATTAGGAGGCATAATCAAACTGATTAAAAGCATTAATTTAATCTGTCACAGATTATAAATATGTAAGATTTTTAATATAATTATATATGTGTTGTATATAAATATAGAATTAGAACAAAGATTGATATTAGAGTCAAGATTGGCTCTATCTTGAAAAATTAAAAAATTTATATTAAATTATTGTATTATAAATATAATAATAATTTTTTATTTAATATTATTTATATATATTTAATCTAATAAAAATTTATTTTAAATTAC